TACTACTACTCCTGCTGCTACTACGACTACTGCTGCTGCTGCTGCTGTTGCTACTGCTACCCCTACTGCTACTACTACTACTACTACTACTACTACTACTACTACTACTACTACTACTACTAGTGCTGCTGCTGCTGCTGCTACTACTACTACTACTACTACTACTACTACTACTACTGCGTGAGGGTTTGTAGTCGATATATTCCTTGTGTGCTCACCTCAAAGAGCTTGATGGTAATGGGTGGTTGCCAAGTAATATGTAGAAAATGACCTGGCTTCGAAATACACATCGGTTGCACAGCAGTTGGAGAATGACCTCCCTAAGCCCATGAACGAGGACCGTCCACACACACACACACACACACGTGTGCTACAACTGCTACAACTGCTCCAACTTCTACAACTACTACAAGTACTACAGCAACTACTACAACTACCACAACCACTACTCCCACCCGTACCCCTACTCCTACTCCTGCTCCTGCTCCTACTCCCACTCCTGCTTCTCCTGCACGGGCTAAGGCTCCTCCTGCTCCTGCTGCTGCTGCTGCTGCTGCTGCTGCTGCTGCTGCTGCTGCTGCTGCTGCTGCTGCTACAGCTACCTGCCACCACCACTACTGCTCCTGCTCCCGAGGCAAATGCGACATCAACACAGTCCCGGCCTGTGGACGTATGTTCGAACGTGCTGTACGCGATGTGGCATGCAATCCTGCCGTTTGGATGCAGAAGAAGTATATGATTGCAGCAGTGGACGGACACATGCTGTGGCTCTTCTGTGTTGTTCATGCCCATTTAGACAGGAAGGCAGCAGGAATCTTTTCTGGAAGCACTTCCAAGTACGGGCTGACAAGGGTGAGACGTGAAACGTTTGTCTTGTTCGGCCTTGCCACAACTTCAGCTTGCACACATGAGTCACTTTGTTTTGTGCACCACCACGGAATTGCAAGATCTTGTTGCACTCAGGTGTCCTCAGTTAGGCGTGACATTTCAGCATCCGTCTTCCGATCAAACGCAGCTCTGCAGAACTGTTCTCCACCAAGGCTCATCAAACCCTGCAAGGGTGCAGGCTACCGCCTTCAGGAATTCAACGCAGTGAGGAGAGTTTGTCTTTCTGTAGTTCGCCTTCTCCAATGGCCTCAGGGTCCTCCGAAGAGTCTACGTTGAAGACGAGGCTTTCTTCCGTCGGGGACTCGAAGAGAACCGTAAACCGATGATACCTCTCAGCAGGGATTTCAACATACGGCGACTACATCGAAAAAATTGCCTTTGGGTCCAAGGAGCTGTGTATTCGGCTCGACAGGCTTGTTGATGACCTGCGAGTTCCTGACCATCACGCAGCTCTAGAAACCATGTATCGGCCGTAGTTCGAACTGCTTGCCGGAACACGTGACTGTTTCGTCCCAGTGTCGTCCTATGGCCGCTACTGCTTAAGAGGGTATCAAACGTATTTGCAGAGCGTTCTTTATCATGTCGTTCTTGCCCCTGTTGATTGCCAGTTTCTCTCCACTCCGGGTCTGATAATGCTCTAATCAAGGTCGTCATGCCGGCCACAAGCTGGCCTCATCTGATATCCGAGCCAATTCAGCAGCATTGCCCAGGCAGTTATGACCCAGTTGACAAAGTTGAAAACCTGGCTTGGGATAGGGCAGCCGAATCTGTTCAGACTAGTACTGATAAAACATGTTCGTTCTTACGTTCCTTTTTATTTACAAGAGTAAGAAACGTCAGTTCTCAGATTTGTCTCATGATCAAGTTTGAGCAGTGCCGTGGTGATCACAACACCAAGTTTCTGAAACGAGTGCTGAAACCTGCGGGATGGCCTTGCCCTTAAGGGGAATCGAGATACACCATTTGCAGTGGAGGCCATTTTTCAAGTGCTGCGGCCCCCATGCCGGACCTCCAGACCCGGCTGCCCGTCCACATGCCTGAAAACCCTCACAAGCTCTTGCGGAAAAATGCGGCAGTCAGCTTCATGGAGTTCCCACATGTTCTCGAGTGCATGGTCCATGGTTTCAACATGATTCAAGACCGGAACACTGAAACTCACCGATCAACCTGACACATCCGCACCTGAAACGCCACGACAAGGCATAAGCCCTAAACCCTAAACCCAATGTACGGAAGCTGAGGTTTTGAAGCTGACACACATGGCGAGAAACTGCTTTAATCCGCACAAAGGCTTTAAACTTCAAGATCGAAACATGGATTTCAGACCCAAACCTACCTGAAGCTGACACACAACGCATTGCAAGCAAGTGCTCAAAACAGTCCCAGTCAAGTTTAAAACATGGAGTTGGCTCTCACATGGAGCACGTCACTACAACAAAAATGCATCCATCCCCGGAACTTAAGAGTCAATGCGGAAACTGTCTAGAGTGTAAACATACTTTGGCTGTTGGGTTAGACACTGCTGACTTCGCCAAGGGGCGGACAACACGATGGAGGCAACAAGGATGTTGTACAAGTGTCCGTGCATACCGCTTGTTCGAACGTTTGTGCCAGCAGCTGCGCAAAGGGGTCGGACCACCTGTCCACACGAGCTGAGAAACGTGGCCGAGCAATGTGTCTCCACATGTCTGCAAAATTCTGCACAGTACAACTCCACCTTGATACAGATTTCTGCTGGCAGAGGAGGTTCATCGCAAAGCAGATCTGAGAGCATGCCACAGAAGCAGCCATCCACGCCGCATGTCTGGTTCACACCGACCTCCCAGCACATCCAGCACAGCACTTCCGTGGAAAGAGAGAAGGGCTTCGCCCTCAGAGCCTGTCTGATGCAGTTGGGAGCCAACCGGCGCCCGTCGTTTGAAAGCCTCAGGGCCGATTGTCACAGAAAAAATCCGGCCGATACGGCCTTGCCTTATCTGCCGAGGTACCGTTCGTGACAGGTCACATCGTGCTGAAACATCTCCGTGAGAACGCAAATCACAGTTGTCATCACCTCGGCATCACTAGGAAATTCCAGCGACTTTGGCGCAGACCACTGTTTGTGCATCCGACGCAGTTGAAGGCAGGACGTGCCTTCGTTTGTGTGTATGTGATGCCGTGATAGATACGTTTGCAGCTCGCAGGTGTTTATGCAAAGCATCTGCATCAGTGGGAAAGTTAAAGCGAATTCGGGAAAGTCCAAACGTACAGCTGCCTGCTCTTCGCAGACCGTGACTTTTCAGTTTAGCTCCGTGCACAACGTCTGCACAAAGAAATGAGTAGCGCGCCTGCTTGCTCGAACTCCAGAGAGGGAAACAGCCCAAGACACAAAGTCAGAGAAGAGCACTTGTGATGATGTGCTCGGTTCCAATGCATACATTGGCAGCAGCACGAGTGACTGCGTCGCATTAATCACCACCCGAGCTCTTGACACCCCTTGTTTAAGTTTGCGGGTTTCTTTTTGCAAGTGCGCCGCTACCTCCAGGTACCGCGTGGTCGTACCGTGCACAAAGCGAGAGTGTCGATCCGTGAGAAGCCCCTTCCAGTCTGAAGGAGGTGCCGTTGTAACCGCGTGTACCCTGCAAGCACCAACCACTGAGCTTCCCGCACATAGACCGAGGAAGACTTCCAGAATTAGCTCGCTGAGGCCCTTCTGCCACCACCACCTGGTCGGTAGCTGTTGGAGGGAGGGAGGGAGGGAGGGA